TGAAGTGACTGACAGTCTTGGCCACCCTATAAGATAGGTTAGAACACCTTTCTCCAGATGAGATACCATGGTAGAAAACTACAGTCAGTGGTGTCAAGGCTCCAACTGGGAGGAGATGGGAACGCAGGTCTGACTCCAAGGCAGGACTCCCACACATACATTTTCACACCAGAAAGGATCAGCCCTGGCACGTGAGGTCAAGTGTTAAGGAGAGCCCTTCCAGGTCACTGCCTGTGGCCCCCACGCCCCAGGAATACCTTGCAGTGGGAGGGCTAGGGAGAGGCAGGGCTAGGGCAGCCAGCTTGAGGGTGTTGGGGTGTGTGCGTGCCTGTGTGCCCGGAAAAGAAACCAAACAGGCCGATAAGATCGCTTGTTTCCAGAGCAAAGCACCAATTAAACACAAGGCAGATGTGAGCAAATAAAGCTGTGGCGTCCAGAGAGAAAATCAATACTAGATTATATGTTCCAGCCCAATCATATACCGATTAATACAGAGCAGGTGGGGCCCAGAGGGAGATAAAGTCTGGGTGGCCAGAATGTGGGGATCCCTGTGCTCGGTCTGGGGTGGGAGTGTACCACACAGCTTTCCTACAGTGGGGGGCTCATGACACTCTTCCCGGGAGGGGCTAAGTCTCTGGAAGCCCCTGTGCCATGATGAGGCTTACAGAAGGGATGAAATCTCTCCTAGTGTTCTCCTTGAAAACTGGGTTGCAAGAATAAGGGTAAGTGGGCAAAAGATGCTGGGGGGGGGGGCACTACCCACTGGGAGCAGCAGACAGCCAGGCACAAGGACATGCTGGGGACAGGTAATGTGCCCTTAGAAAAGTAAGGGATTTGTCCTCGGAAACTGATCAAAAACAGGACAAAAGTGGGAAAAGCCCCAAATAAACTAATTGAAGAAGTGACTGAAACCTATGGTTATTCCATCTGTGCTTTACAATTTTAATTCAGAAAGTTAAGCCAAGCAATTAATAAATCATGAATTTATTTATGCCACAAGTGGCAGGGTCTGTAGCCCAGGTCAGGTAGGTTACAGTGGGGGTTGGCTGCCCAGGACATTCCACGCAAGAGCTTCAGCTCACTGCTGGGCAGATAGCTGCAGCCAACAGCCTTGACCAAGTTCAGAGGCCCTGTCCTACAGGAGGGGGTGTTGACACTGTCAGAAACACAAAATGGAAGTGCTGATGTCCCCGGCAGAGGAAGTTTGGCTGACAGTGAAGACAAGTCCTGACTTCTTGGAATCAGAGCCCGCGCTCCCTTCTGCAAAAAAATGACCTAAGGCCCTAGGGAAAGCCACCCAGTGTTTCTTGACACAACACAGACATGGAAAAAAGGCAGTGAATGCATGACAAAAAGGGTGTCTGTTCTCAGCTGTCCCTACAGGAAGTCTCTGGCTGAAGCCCCTCTTGCCTCAAATATACCTGACTCAGGAGTCCCGGAGGGAGACGTCCATTTGGAGAGGGACTTCCATGGGATAAAGACTGTTTCATGCCATGAAAGAAAGAAAAGACACACACTCACACTCTCACACACACACACACATAAAATTTTCTAGCTGAATATTTTTTTAGACATTTTGCAAGATGCACGGCCTCCCTGACAATTTTTAATGTACTAACTGCCTGGTCCAGTGAGCTGATTAATTGGTGCTAGAGAGATCAATAAAAAACAGAAAATTAAAACAATTTTAAAGTGATTAAGTAGTTTAACACCTGTCTCCCGTCACGTCAGCGCAGGAAGAAAAATAAAGCAGGTGTCGAAGGGGCCTCTTGAAGCAAGAGAAAACAGCGCCTGCCTTGGAGAAATGACAAATCACAGCCAGTGGATCAATCTGCCTGCAGGCGGCCTTCCCGCCCATGGCTGCACACCCAGGCAGGAGAGGAAAGGCACTGTCTATAGGGCCAGGAGCTCAGGGAGCCTGAGCTCACTGCAGCCTAGAGTGCTGGGCAGGATGTGGTGGGAAAGACCCACTCAGCAACTGCAGTTTCAGCCATGCTGAGCTGTGTCCAAGTATGCAGGTTCAAACACACTTAAAATGAGCTTCCAGGCCTGTGGGAGACAGCGTTGTCCCCAGTCTGACCAGACTCGACTTGACTTTCCCGAAGCTCGGACTCTCCCCCTTTGCTCCTCTCCAAGCCTCCAGCTCCCTAGCAGCCCTGCTCTCTGCAGACATCCACAGCTGGTGAAGGACTTGCTGGATGATGGTCCAGGGCCCCTCCCACCTCTTCTGCTGAGCTTCAATGCACGGCTCCTCTCCTCTCCGTCTAATATGTCAGCTCAGAATGGCAGAAACTCAGATTCTTCAGCTTCCCAGTGATCCTTAATGAGAATGGTGACCCTGGGCAGGGTACAGAGTAACAAAGATTGGCCCCAAGTGAAACGTCACAAAAAAAGCCTCACTTGACCTTGCAAATGGACTTGGAGTCTGCACATAGGACCTGCAAGACACACAATGTCACTCATTTTCCAAGCTGTCCTCCACCTCCAGGAGTGGCTCATCACAGCACGGCCCTGTAGGGGCAGAGCCTCAGGCACTTGGATAAGCACCCCTGGCACAGGGGCCCTGTTCCTGAAAATGTCTGGCCACTCACCCACTCACCAGCTTCCCAGGCACCACCGAGGTTCCCTGGTGGCAGCACTTTCACCCCAAGATGAGGCTAGATGGAAATTCACAGCCAATAGCTAATTCCTTAGGAGCGCTCCACTCACAAAGCTTCCCATCCCACCTGCCACATTCGGGGGAGCTTAGGGAAGTCAAGCAGCAGCCTCAGCAGGGGCTAGGCCAAGAAAGAGTACCTACTATTCATTTTAACAAGCACACTGACCTGTCAGGTGTTCTTTCCCATTTTCCCTGGGCTCTTCTCTACATGGGCTGCCAGGTCTTAATGAAGAGGTGCTGTGCTGTGTTCCACAGCACATATACTAAAATGAAAAGCTGAGGAAGACTACAGCCAATTTTTACACCCACAAAAATCTCACAGAAATGTCTTCCAGTCTTCATTTTTTTAGTTCTTTAAAAACAAGCCACATGACATCAGTCTCCACACATTTGTGGTCTTGGTGTTTCCTGCTGTGAGATGTGGGTCTGGTGAGACTTGGTAGGATGCAGCTAAGAAGTCTTAAGTCCCACTTCTTGGGGTTGATGTCAAACGCTCCTCAGACAAGTGTCTGTACCCAGGTCCCCATCCCCACCAGAAGGATGACCCATGGCCACCCGGGGGGCCCACATCCTTACCACTCTGTGACCCCAACGCAAAGTTCTTGACAAGGTAGTGCCCTGGGGCCCGCGGCTGCTCCTTGCCGAGTAACCCCACGCTGACGGAGATAAAGTTTCCCTGGACCCAAGTTCCAAACTCGGCTGTTTTGTTTCTGTTAAAATGCAATTGTTTTTCTCTGGAGTGTGTGGTGACTGCCCAGCGTCAGGAAGATGTATGAAAACCTCCACTTCAATTCAGCATCCCTTTTCTCCCAGACAAACACGGTCGGATTTTAATAAATCAAAGAGCCACACTGTTTAATAAAAATTTATTGACTTACAAGTGATTATTTATCAAAAGACCATTAATAGCAGGTACTGGAATGATGTGTTGCTGGGTGGTGCTGGGAGACTAATAGGAAATCAATGCGGCCGGCCGGCCAGAATGCATATGAGAAAGCCCACCCCCTAGCAGCCAGCAAAACTTCAGCAGCAAAATACACACGGTGCCACCCCCGGTGCAATGAAAAGCTCCCCCTTTTTATTTATCGTTTACAAATGAAATGATCAATACTTTTAATCTAGAGCAAAATTTATTAACTTTCCCATCGGAGAGAGACGTATTGACTGGGCAAGTGGGGTGAGCACCGTGGCGATGGATGGCTGGTAGCCAGCCCCTGCCCTGTAGTGGCCTGCTGCACACCCTGGCCATGGCAGTGTCCCCGGAGCATTCGAGTCCAGTCCCTCCCAGCACTCTGCAGGCAGCTAAGCCTGAGACACGGTGGGCTCTTTTCTCACTCAAGGCACTGGTCCACAGACAACTGAGCTTTTGGTAGATTCTAGAATGCAGACAGCAGTGTTTATACAGCCAGATTTCCACAGGGCAGAAGCCCACCATGTAAGGTGATGCTCAAAGACCCAGCAACCCCGGAACACTGCCTCTTCTACATTAAGTGAGAGTGTGTCTACGGCAGGGGAGAATCGGGTTTCATTTGGTTCTGTCATCTCCAAGGGCACCAATCCTTCTGTGGAGCCTCTGCAGTCAAGGCATCTTCTCAGGATGTGCACATATGAGTGAAAAAGACCCGCTCCAGACCACTCAGTCCATAAGAAAAATGGCTGTGGTCCCAGGTAGCTATCTTCCTCAGGAACTCTCAAGGTCACCCTCTGGTGGCTTAGTACCACGTCTGATTTTTCAGAGGGAACAAATGGATTCAAAAGTGACTTCTAATTTCAGATTTCAAGACTGGAGAACTCAGAGCATGTGGGCTTAACAGAGAAATGTCAGAGGGGCGGAAGTCTAAGAACACCTAGCCCACCCACATCGCTAGTTATGAAGCAGACCATGAACACTAAAAAATGGCAATGAAGGGACAGCAGGCTTGGCAGGGCATAAAACTGACCACCACTCCCTCCACAATGTCATCTCTTGGTTTTATTCCAAGCTCATCCTTGTTCCAGCTGGAATCCAAGTGTGAGTACAGCTTGTGCCTTACATTTGTTGCTTTGTTTGGAAGCCTGAAGATTTAGCAGGTAAGACCAACTCAGTAACAGTGAACCAAATATTCTTACAGGCAATCTGGGGCCAGTAAGATCCCAGATGAAAAGGATGGAGCAGAATGGTGGACCCTGAATTAGGAACAGGTGTACAGAAAGAGACATACACACAAAAACAAAAAAGAATCTATCAAACAAGGAAATAAAACATCACGCACAATGGTTTTAGAACTTCTTCAGAGGGAATATGATTTTTAAGACCAACTTAAAGATCCTTCCAGTTAGCACTGAAACACTACAAACATCACCTGTGTAGTGGAAAGCTGCTTTTTATTAATATCCCACAAACCAGTTCAGAAGAGACTGTTCTTACAGTCATAAGTTTTTATTGCAAGAGAAGTTTTCCACTGGCTAGCACAAGGGCAGGAGGACAACACAGGTGGCTGTGTGAAGAGGTGGTGGGAGGCAGTGCGGGTGAGTGACACCAGGCTCACACAGGGCAGGTCCTCGAGCATGAGGGTGATGTGGCTTTGTAGCCTCAGAGCTGGGCCTCAATCCCATTCCTCACCCCAGCCGAGGAAGGTATGGAGTCCTGAAAGGTATTGAGCCTGCTACAAGAAGAGGGGATGGGGACAGAGATGAGGAAACCCTCTGAGGATCAGAAATTGGAGAGCCCCACAGCACAGACCCCTAAGAGCGGCCTGACTTTGGTTCTGCCTTCATTGTGACTGAGGTGGCCTGTGAGGCTGCAGTTCACCTTCCAGCCTTGGGGAAACCTGGTATGCCAGTACTCAGGCTCTCTGGTTCTCAGCCGTCCCTCACCCAGACCTCCATGGAACTCCTGCTGCCCCATTCCTCTTCCACCCCACCTCAGAGACTTGGGGCCCTCCCTAACCTCCAGTCTGCAGACACCCCTGGCTACACCAGACATGCCAACATCTGCTGGGAGAAGCCTGCCTCCTGAGTGTCAGGAGGCTTACTGTGGAACCCAAGTAGGAGAAACACTTGCATGGGGCGAGGCCATGTTTTATTTACTCAGAGCCACAAGTCCAAGCCCTGTGTAGCAGCTGAGCTCCAACCTCATCCCGCAGTCCACGAACCTGGACTCCTGACACTGCACATGTGTCCTTCACACATGCAGCATCTGAGTCCTCACAACAACCCTGTGAGGTAGGACTTACTACCCCTCCCTGCTAGAGTCATGTTACAGATGGGGAAACTGAGGCACGATTAAACAAAGAGCACATCACACAGGGAATTCAGGCTCAGCCTGGAGTTTGAACAAGCAATACTTGGCTCTCACCACAGACCACCTTGTAGTCTGCTGGCCTCTCCTATTCTGTCTTCTGACTTAACAAAGAATAGCACAAGATACTCAAACTTCTTTTGCCAAATGCCCTGCATACAACAGTCCTCTCTTCATCAGGTCTACAGAGCTCCAAGGCTGGGCCAGACCCTGGGCAGTGCCTCTCCCAGAGAGGGGTAGCCTCCCCTACAACAGGCCCAGGGCTGGGGCATCCTAACAGAGAGTATGGTTATCGTCACACTGCTCAGCTCCACAGGACACGCTTGAGTGGAGAGCAGACTTTCATGGCATTGCTCCAAAGGACATATTGTAAAAGGAACAAGAAGGCATCTCGTCCTGGGCAGCAACACCCAGCAGTACTCGCTGCAGATGGCAAGGGCAGGCCATGCTGGCCTGAGTGCAGGGGTCCGTGCAACTCTGAGGCTTGGTTCCTGGTGTCCAGAGCAGCCCGGCCTGAGTCTGGATGGATGTGGCAGCAGGGGCGGTGGTGGTAGCAGCGGCAAGAGCTCCAGCTGGCTCACATGCCGGGATTCAGGCAGGTGGTTCCGGCCAGCATGCCCTCGGCTTCAGGAACGGCTCCGGTCCTCGTGGTTCCCTACGATCATCTTGCTGTACAGCTTCTGCTGCTCCTCTTTAAATGTGTCCTTCACTTTTTCCCTCTTCAGTCCACCATCCCTGAGGAGAGAAAGGGAGGGTAAGCACCAAGGAGGCTCCTAGTCACCGTGCATCAGGGCAGATGCACCTCATTGCTCAAAGACCAAGAAAGACAGGCCAAAGTCGAGTGTAGCTGGCTCTGCAGCTTCTGTCAGCATGGGCCACTGCAGCGCTCCAAACCGCTTACACCCCAGAGAAGCCTAACTTCCTTTGTACTATGATGCTCATTTTCACCCTGCAAAGGACAGGGAAGGCATTCTGGAGAGGGAAGCCAGGTGTTAATACATACTGAGATGCAACAAATCTTTAAAACTATAAAATGTAATCTGTTAAGTTCAGATTCAGGGGTACTTCAAATTCATGCAAAGAATGAAGAGTAGTAAAAATAAATGCAGCGGTTTTTTTCTCCCTCTTTTATGGTTAAGAGACAAAAAGGCCTTGTGCAACCTGAGCTACATTCCCAGCCCCTGTGAAATGGAGGTTCTCATTTCTCCTATGTTTGGAGGAAGTAACAGAAACTAGGAGTCTTCTTAATGAATAGAATGATTTGTTCTAATGGTGTTTGTAAATAGGATCACAAGTCTGCATCTTGTACAGCAATTAACCACTAAGAAGAATATATGTAGTGTATTATTTGTTGAAACCGTACTTCCGATTTGATTTGAAACTGTCTCATTGCTGTTTATCAATAAAACTTTGAAAAAATAAATAAATTAAAAAAAAAAAAAAAAAAAAGAAACTAGGAGTCTTTGGCCTGCTGTCTGGGGCTGGCCTCGCTGTCCCAGGACCTCCCCCATGACTTGGTTTCCCCTTCTGGGACTCATCCCCAGCACCTGTCAGTTCAGCTCCTTGATAATGCTCTAGCACTATCTCATCCTTGACACCCTATGAACTCCCAAGCCTGCCTTCTGCCTGCTTCACACTTTAAGACCCACAGCAAAGATGTGTTTTAAAAAGCAGCTACAAGGGCTGCGAAGATAGCTCAGTGGCTTAGCGGCTTAAGCACCTGCTTGACAAGTGTAAGGTCCTGAGTTCAATCCCTAGTACTGCAAGTAAATAAATAAATAAAATTAAATAAAATGCTATGATCGTTGTTGTAGCCTGGGGACAAAGACATAGAGAAATGGATAAACTTTTTAGTTTAAAGACATTTCTGAACTGGATTCAAACATGGCTCCAGGGCTTACTCTGTGACTCTGGAAAGTGACTAAATTTCTGTTTCACTTTAACATAAGTGAAAATAGTGAGTTTGACACTCATGGATTTCTATACCCACAGGTGACCCAAGACCCTCACATGCAGCAGCAGCAGTGGCAGCAACCAGCACACAGTAAGTGCTCAGTAAATACCCCTATGTTTAAAAAGGCCATGGTTCAAGTGTCACGCCCCGCTGGCCCTCACACTTAGCCTGGGGTCCAGACCTGGGACAACACTGACCCAGTCCCATCCCTCTCCATCTGTTGTGATCTGGAGTATACTATCTCAAACTCTAGGACAAGGAAGGGTAAACTACAACCCATGGGCCAAATTTGGCCTGGCAATTATTCTTCTAAAGTTTTATTGGGACACAGCCATATCGTCTATTTCTGCACTCACCCTGGCTGCTTTCTCAGTCCAAAGATAGGAGGAGTAGCAGTGTACATCATAAGGCCCAGCACATAAAACATTTACTGACTTCACAGAGAAAATCTTGTTAACTTCTGCTCTAGGAGTTAACAAGCTAAGTGCAATAAATAAACTTTTTGAGTCAGACATGTTGGTGCACATAATCCCAGCACTCTGGGAGACTGAGCAGAAGGATGGCAAATGTGAGCGCAGCCCACATAATCTGGGCAGTATAGTGACTAACAAGACCCTGACTCAAAGATTTAAAAATTCAACTGAACAAACAAACCTTTTGCCTTTCTAAAGATGGCCCACTTGCCAAATGCACCAAGATTAGAGGAGGCTCCTCACTCCTCTGAGGCTTTCTAGATCATCAAGAGATGAACAGCGTCTGGTGTCACAGCCATAGCAGACAAATCCCAGGAAAGGCCCAGAGATCCCACATTCCCCAAGGCTGTGGCAGTGCAGGGCACTTCCCAGTCAGATGTGGGGAGAGGAAAGGAACCACGTCCTCTCCAGAGCCAGAGGGCTCCATTCTCTGCGCCAGGGAGGCAGAGCCTTGCTAAGAGGATCCATACTCACCACAGCAGGTCCACCAGCCCTCCCTGCCTGGCAATGGCAGACTTCACCCTATTGGCAAACTGGACCGCATCTTCATCTTTCTGTAACAAATCATGAATAAAATGAGACCACTCCTCTCAGCTCACCGTCACCCCACTCAAGCCAGTAATGATGTCTGTGTGGCCAGAACACCCACCTCTCTGGTCATGGGCGGCAGGTACCAGACACTGCAGACAATGGCCCAGCTGGTCATCATCCTCAGCAGGTATGTCACCATCCCATACTTGCTACTGTTCCAGAAGGCATCACCGAACTGAGGGTCATACTGCAACACAGTGGGAAGCAGGCACTTGTGAGTGTGTGCAGACTGTCCCTCAGGGGACAGCACCTAGGTGGTTCTGACACCCAGATCTCCCCAAGGCCCAGCCTCAGAGCAGACCATCACAGAGGCCTCTCCTAAGAGCCATTTTCAAACACAAGTTCCCCTTCCTTACTAGCACCACATCTCATTCACAGGTACCACTCACGCACCGGTACTAAAATCTTCAGACATAGCCAACAACAGGGAAGATGGGTTGGGTTAATATATACCTTTCCCAGACTCAACAAGTACCAGTATTTTGCCATTCTTGCTTCATCTGTGCCCTCCCTACTTACAACTCCAACAGTATGCCAGCCATTCATTAATACATCTAATGTCCTTCCCCCATATCAGAGATGAGCTTCCAATGGTAACAGCTTGCTGTGGCACATGTGCCATAGGTTCACCACCACTGCCCTATGTGAAGACATTTTCTCATAGAGCTAACAACTTCTTTTGTAACTGTTATTCCAGACCAGGCAAGAAACACTGTGCTTACAATATAGTTCTGTATTTACCATTCTAAGAAAGCTAAGTCATCTGCTTGGGCAGGAAGCTCTTTGCTTTAGCTTCACTAGCAAATGGCCACTCACCAAATCTCATAAAACCTCAACTCAAAGGCAATGTATTTGCAACCAGGAAGCAAATGCCTCAGATACCTTTGTCAATGACTCTAATAAGACACGCAGGCTATTTCAATGACATCTTATGGCAACCATGGCTGTGTCTGGGGCCGGCATTCTCACCAAACAGTAACTCTAGGGGCAGGTAAATCTGGTAGATGTGCTGGTGGAGGCGGTAGAAGAATGTGAATTCCCAAGGAGGTGACTAAACAAAGTGACCATTATTAACTGTCTGAAGGGAGACTGCTGACAAGGTATTAAACACTGACTTTGTGCAATTACATAAAGCAAAGACCGAGCAACAGAGAGTAGAAAAATCAGAGACAGAATTTCAGGATCTATGCTTCCAAACAAGATGCCACCTATGTAAGAAACAATGCCAGGTTTCCCAGCGAAAGAATGAACAGCAGGTAGGAAGCTGTTGTGCAGAATCTTGCACTTCAGGTGGGGTGAGGATGGGTCTTAACTGTGATCTCTTAGGCTTTTCTGGCCTAAATTTTAATGATTCTCAGAACAAAAGGTGGATAAAGTATGTTGAGATTATGGCTGTAACTACAGAAATAAAGACATGAAATTTAGTAATAGAAACTAAGAGGGGCTGGGACTGTATGAAATTTAATAATAGAAACTAAGAGGGGCTGGCACTGTAGCTTACTGGTAGAGTGTTTTGACTAGTATGCATGAGCTATTGGGTTTAATCCCCAGCAGCAAAACAAACAAAAAAACATAAAAAATTCAGACTCAGCTGTAGAAGGCTTAATGAATTTATAATTCTAAAAATAAGGAAGAGAACTTTAAACTAATCCAATGTGTATGATGCAAAGAGATGCACACTGACAACCCAGTAACCCAGGAGGCTGAGGCTAGAGGACTTCAGTCCATGAGTTGAAAACACCATGGGCAACATGGCAAAATCCTTCCTTAATAAAATAAAAAAAATGCCTGCAAGCAGCCACAGGAGCTGGGGGTTTGATCCCTGGGCCTGCCGTGCTGGCCCCACCTCAACGTGTGCTGAGATGGCGATTAAGATTGGGCCTGGAGGCACATGCCTGTAATCCTAGCACTTGGGAGGCTGTAAACAGGCGTATCACTAAGAGTCTGATCTAGTAGTGAGACCCTGAATACCTTGTAGACCCTTCCCTAAAATACAGAAAGAGAATAAATAAATAAATAAATAAATAAATAAAATAAAAAGGAAGTGGTGTTACACTTTACAAGCCATGATCTGTGAGTGAGGGTCCTTTGTTGAGAGCCAATCCTTTTACACAGGGCAGACACTATACATAAAAACAAGGCAAATGCTCAAAGTAACATGTTGCTCAAAGTGTGACAGTGACTGAAGTTTGATGGAAATGTAGTAAGACCCTTGAGGTTACTAAGGCTATTCAAGTCCAGTTACCAATACAGGCTTCCCCAGATTAGAGAAGTACCTACAGGGCAAGAGCTCTTTACCACGGATGTGAGAGCTTCACTCTGAATGAAAACCTCTATGAATTTTATAGGCCTTTTACTTTGGAGGGGAGTCCCTGGCAGGGTCTGTGTCCTGGTGATGGGTAGGAAATATATTCCTCATAGGAGGCTGCCCCTAACTAGCTGCAGTGACAATGGTGATGTTGTGTCAGACTGGTGTCCTGGGTGTCACCATCCCCACTCTGCATGAACAGACAGCTGCCTTCCAGCAGTTCTCCAAACTTATGCAAAGGTGAGGAGCGCAGGAGCTAAATGTGCTTTTCTGAGATGGGGCCTGGCAGGGTAACCTGAAAAGGATGTTCTTGTCCTACTCTCTCTCTCTCTGGCTTTCTGTTTCACGCTGCTTCCAGCTGCTATTAGGTGAGCAGCCTTGCTCTACCATCATATTTCTCTCTTTGAGTCAGCCTACCTTGGACTATGAGCTAAGATGAACCTCCCTTCCCTTGTGTATACGACAAGGTGACCACTACCTACAGGGAAACCCCTGGCCTCCATTACACTAGAATGCAAGACTGCATTCAGAATACACATGCTGGAGGTATAGCTCAGTGGTAGAGCATTTGACTGCAGAACACACATGCCAATCCTCAAGCCCACACCCCTGCAAACCCTGCTAATGTTTCTCATTCCCTGGCCCACCATCCTCCACAGTTCTGACAGCCCTTACCAACCATCTGTTGGCCCGCAATTGATTCATGCTTGCTCTCTCCAACCCAGTTCTCCGCTAAACTGATGAAAAAAACAGCCTACAAGAACCCTCACCCTCAAACTGCAAAGCAAGGTGACAGGTGGTGCAGACTCTCACAGGTGCTGCACATGACAAGCAGACTCTTGCAAAGGACAGGAACTCCAAATGTGCCTGCTATGCATCCTGCCTAAGACTTCAGCCCAGGTACTTTAACCTGACTGACAAGCGCGAGCAAGAGTGAGGCCTGGTCCTTCCAGTTATCACATGAATCCACAATGAAATTAGGTAGAGAGGGAGGGCTGAGAGGAGGGAAGCAGTGCAGCTGACTGGTCTCTAGGAAGCTTGAGTGGGAGGAAGACAAGTCCCTGGAGGTCAGGGATGGAAGGGAGCAGTTCAGAAGTCCCGCTCCATGACATTAGCTGCTGCTCCATGAGATGAGTCTGCATCCAAGGTGGCAGGCTGTTTGTACCACGAGGCCCCACCAAGTTCCTGATGAGGCCCATCACCTTCACCTCCCCTCTCCACGATGAACTCGGCTGGTGGCACAACCACACAGGGAGGGGACAAAGGCAGAGCTCAGAAGGGGTGTGCCACTTCCCAAATCTGGTAGCAGGTGGGCACCTGGCTGTTCCTCCTCTAAACACTGCCCAGCCCTCTCAGAGCTGCAGCATTAAGCTCTCCTCTCCCCATCTCTCAGTTCTGGAAGCCTAGCTCCAGTGCGCTGCTGGAGAGGCAGCTATTCACTGTTGCACCCTGTTCTCACTATAATAATAGCATGCATCCTCAGAGGCCATGTACCTTGATAGCAACTGGATAAACTGTGGCTCCAATTTCAAAACTTCCCTTTTTAAACATCATCACTGATGTGTTATTGATGCAGGTACCTAAAATACAGGAAAGAACAAAGTGCTACTGGTTTCTGACCCTTTATCCCAGACAGTAGGAATTTCTTCAACACTAAAATAATAAAAACTGAGTGGCTCCTCAAACACGCTGAATCTGTCATCACCCTATCTTACTAATAACACCTGAGAATTGGCAAATGCAGCCCCTTTGCCTCTTCTCCTTTCCCAGGCCATTTTCCTGACTAACAGATACCGACCCAGGTGAGGGCCAGGGACCCCTGCTGCACTGGGGAGAGCCCTGCAGAAAGCTCAGAGGCCTGTCTTGAGCAAAGCCACAGAACAGACTCCTGCTGGAACTCACACTATAAATTCTGCACCCAGGTTCTCAATCTCCTGAGTTATTAGTCCTGCAGCTGACCTGAAGGGGACTTACCATTAACCAGGGGCCAAAGAGAATCCTAACAAGGGCTGAGAGACCTCGCTCCCCTAACCAGAGGCTCTTACCTTCTGGAAAGATGAGAATAGGCAGCTTGCTTTTATCTTGCACGTGTTCAGTCAGTCTTCAAAAGAAAAAAATAAAATAAAATGAAGAGTCAGACAACCCTATGCTCACCATCATCAAAGTGCATTTATGCTCATGAGACACTTGTTTAGACAGATAAAAGCAAGTTAACAAATCTGTGTCCTTCAGAAATACACAATCTATAGAGTTCGTCAAGAAAAAATTCTAAAGGGCAGAGAAAACTAGATGGCTTAATTCACACAACTGTTCAATTCAGTATTAACATGTTCCTGCCAGCTTCAACCACTGGTGGCATATGCATGACTGTCCAATTTGACAGCTTATGCTACCCAATGAGAGAGTCCCATGCTGCCCATGCCCAGTGGCACAGTCATTCACATAGCACTGGTGGTGCAAGCCGGCAGAAAATTAACAAGTTCAAATCAGAGCTGCCTGACAGGGAGGAACAGAAATGACACACATGTCAAGTCTGTACACAGAAGACATTGTTCAGACTGGATACTCTCTGAAGGAGGCAGATGCCATCCGACCTCACACACAGAACCATTGACAAGCCTTTGTAGCTGGCAGCCGAGTAACTGTGCTGAGCTGGACTTTGCTTGTGGTCCATTTGCTCAGAACCTCATGATGAAATTTAACAGCCATTATTGTGGTAGTGGGGGATGGACTCGAAGAAGGCAATTTTCATGGCACTGTATCAGTTACCTCAAGAATGAGCTGTTACTAACTAAGCAAGGCAGCTGCTGACTGACTGACTGCACTGGGGATTGAACCCAGGGCTCCACACATGGCAGGCAAGCACTCTACTACTGGGTCTTGCCAAGTGACCAGGTTAAACTCAAACTTATGGTCCTCCTTCCTCAGGTTCTGGAGTACCTGATACTACAAGGTGTGCACCACCATGGGGTTACTTTGTTTCTTCTACACATGCCTGTCTGCCCTTCTGCTATGTTATGACAAAGCACAAGGGCCTTGCCAGATGTGGCTGCCTGACATCTGACACTCCAGCCTTCAGAACTATAAATAAAGATTTCTTTGTAAATTACTCCGTTTCAGATACTGTTATAGCTGTAGAAAACAGACTTGACAGACTTCCAGTGCTCACTGGCTCAAAACTCTGTCCCCGAGCCAAAGGGGATTTAGTGAGGTTCCCTAATCTTTATGAAAGATGGTTTCAACTGAGCCCGACACCTTTGTACCTACTGCAAAGCTTTCCACACTGTTCACATTGGAAGTGAGAACAGAAGAGCACATCATTCCACTGCCTTATGTTGGTTTTTATTTATGATAATGAAGCAATTTGGAATTTCTTTTTTCATTTTGAGATTTCTAATAACAATGGAAGTTCATATTTACTGGAATGGGTACAATGAAACATTACTAAGTAGTTAAACAATACTCAGTGTTCTATTTTATATTGCTTGTTTTGGGGAAAATGTATTACAAGAGCAGTATAGCCTCAGTGTAAGAAGTATTCTAACAACTCCTAAATTACCATTTTCTGTTTATGTGGGAGCTGGACAGAATAGCATCTTGTCCGTTTACCTCTTAGCCACCAGGTGGCGGTCTTTCACTTCGGACCGCTCGAACCAGACGTGGGGGCAGGCTTTCACCATGGCTCTCTGAATCACACCCATAAGTCCTCCATGCACTTGACCCACCTGGGCTCCGACAAAACAGTAATTAATCGTGAAGCCATCTCACACAGGTCCCCCATCCCAAAACATATGCATTCCGATGCTTTGCTCTTTAATAGGGCTAAACTGCTGGGTTCCCACTATCAGGAAACCACAATTAGACTCCCCAAACTCGAAAAAAAAAAAAAAAAAAAAAAAAAAAGTGATTCCTTGTGTAAAAGGCCCGTCCCTCAATATTCCTTTTCCTATCTCTTGCCTTCATGTCCTGCTTCAAGGTTGTATATGGTTAGATATTTGGACTTATGTGTAAACATAAGAAGTATATAATCCTTTATGCCTATTTTTAAAAATATATTCTAATTTTTAAATGTTTTTTCATCATATTCTGTAGGGACTTAAAAGTTCAACATATCAATACTTGATGAAAAATACCTGTCCCATGTTATGCCTAAGATGTCTGATATTCAGACAGATAGTGAGGTTAAGCTTAACAGCCTAGGTTGTATGGTAATAACAATAAGCTTATCTTCTGGATGGTTAACAACCTACGTTTGCAGACCAAAATTAGAGAAAAAGGAGGGCCGCAAGGAAAGCCAACATTTTGGCCCTAGCCTTCCAAGGTCAATTAAGACTCAGGACATATGAGAACTTGTACTGTAACATCATGTAACTCGGTAGTGTCCCAAATTTTCTGATCAAGGAGATTATGGGGCCAAAGAGGAAAGTGATCGATGATGTAGAGTGTGCCTAAGGAGAGTCACCTGGAAAGAAAACATTCTCTCAGGCTTTCACAGAGAGCACATTGGCCAAGCAATGGCCGTGACTCATCCACATGGCTGACACTGACAAAGGTTCTACAATCTGAGGTACAGGATCTCAGGATAAATCCTGAGGGGATTTGACTGACCTTATCAGACCCAAAAGCTACAACTCTTGTTTCATAGGTCCTGCTTTACCTTGGTCTTAACCATCCAGCAGAAAAGTATAAAAACGAAGTATAAGAAGTAAAGCCATGGTGTTGAGCTGTAGGGGACTCAAGTCAACAATTTCTGACACTGCCAGTGAAGCGGAAGACCCAATACTATTATGAACTACTGAACTCTTTTAGAATATTTTGCTGAGTTCACACACCTATGATATTTAAATGATGGAACTTAACAAAAAAAAAAAAAAGGGGGATACAGATGAATGTCCATTTTGTATCTGTGTATTCAAAGTGGTTAGGGTAGATATATAGTTACACTCTCTTAATGAATAGAGGGATTTGTTCTAATGGTGTTTGTAAATAGGGTATCAAGTCTGTATCTTGTACAGCAATTAACCACTAGGAAGAATGTATGCAATGTGTTAATTATTGAAACTGTCCTACCAATTTGGCTTGAAACTGTCTCATTGCTATTTGTTTCTCAATAAAATTATGGGGGGGAAAAAAAAGGTCCTTCCCTACGCAGCTGGAGTCCTGTCTCCTACACCTCCACAGTCCAAGAGGCAACTGAGTTTTATCTCCTGCCCTGCTCTCAGTCTGCTCAGCACATCTATTTAAGTCCCAAGTTCTTCTCCAAGGCAACATGCCATCCATGTCTACGCACACATATAAAAAGCACGTTCACATGTTTATACCCTTAAAAGTGTTCTGTGAAAGGTCCAGAAGCCTCCTGGCCTAACATCTAAAGTCCTACCTCAAGAAAACAGACTTACCATGGCATAGTAGCCGTCACTGGCTAAAATGATAACATCAATAGGAGATGTATGGTTAGCCACACAGATGCCACCATTTCTTGGTCTGTTCTTCCTGGGTATAAAACAAAAATTGTAAGCAACAATGTATGCAGGCAACAAAAACCTGTGTGGAAACATTTCACTTGGAATATATCTCTGAGCACATATCTGTCCAGAGCTCAGCTCTGTCCCTGCTTCCCATTGGGCCAAGCAGGTGGGTGGTGCTTGGCCAGCCCACCTCACTCTGCAGCACTGCTGAGCTCCCTCACCTGTCGTGGTAGGTAATGATGGCGGTCAGGGCTCGCACGCAAATCCGGTAACACATTAGGTGAACGTGTTTACTCAAGAACTCCTTAAACCTGCAACAACGGGCAGATTTGGGATTTTTGTTTTGCATATAGGAAGACAGGAAAAATTCCTGACTAACCATTGAGCAGTCTACAACACGGTATTTTTACAAATACAAATGCATATGTTAAAAGCATTTCTATGTTCACAATGAGGAAACAAAGAAATAGCAATGAGATGACATTTGCTCGCCTTAGTCAATGACTCAGAATCTGCAGCCCTAGAACTTCCCAGATAGGGAAGCTATATTCCTAGATTCCTACCCCCATGGCAGCCCACAGGCAGGCCAGATCAGGCCAGAGTCCAGCCTCCTCAGAAACGCCTGTATCACAGAGGTCTGCTGACCCAAGGGAGCAAAGTTTCCTTAAAAAAAAAAAAAAAAAACACAAAACCCACCTACGTTCCAAAGTACTTTTAAAAATCATACTCTCTTCCTTATCAATTTATCAGGCTAGCAGAATGCTCAAAACTAAATATGATAAGATCTGTTAATATCTTGCCAGTCATGGAGGCACATGCCTGAAATCCTATTACTACTGGAGGCTAAAAAGGAGGCTGGCTATTGAGTTCCATGCCAGACTGCAATGCATAAGCAAGACTCTTGTCTCAAAAAAAAAAATAAATAAATAAATAAAACAAAATCTGTTCGCATCTGGGCCTTGGATTCTGTATTTTTGTGGTTTCTGACTTTTGGTCTTTAAAATGGAATGAACCTGAGAGCTGGAGGGCAAAAGGAATAGTCACAGACCAAGATGGGTCACAAAATAAGAGCCTTGACCCTTGGTGCTTCTGCTACTTGAGAATCACATAAAATGCTATGGCTTGGGTTGGTACTCAAAGGGGCAACCCAGCCTTTAACTGGAGCTACCCTCCAGAATGAAATGCGCTCTATAGACAACTGTGCTCTACTCACCTCCCATTTGGCAAGTATCCCACCAAGGTTGTGCCCACCACCAGAAGGCTAATTCCTGTGAATGCCAGAGCTATCCTGTAAGGAGAAGACAAGTTACAACACATTGAAGCAATCCACGTATGCAAGTCAGTATAGAAAAACCAAAGCAAGGAAGGGTCAGCAAGATAGCTCAGCAGATTAAGTGCCTGCTTAGGCAAGTGCAGGGACCAAAGTTTGATCCCTGGCACCGGCCCCACCCCTAGGGCACAATGAGCCTGCCACTAAGACTGGGCATAGTGGTACACGCCTGTAATCTCAGTGCTGGGGAGGTAGAAAACAGGAGGATCACTATGAATCCAAGCTGTGTAGTGAGACCCTGTATCAAATACATTAAAAAAAAAAAAAACAACGAAGCAAGGATCATGAATGACCCTTCATGAAACAACTTCCTGAAATCTGGATGAGTTCCAACAGGGAACAGAAGCAGGCCTATCAGAACTAGCAATCACTGGATTCCAAAAGACAATCAGCTGTGGCTCAGGCTCCCAGCTGATACCATGTCCTCCAGCATCAGGCAGTCAGAGCAGGAAAACCTTAATGCTGGCTGTGTTGTAAACACAAGGGTTGGCTGCCCCTTTGAAAACCCACCCCCATCCTGCAACAGAACCCTTCCCTTTGGCATCATTCCCTGGCAGAAGTAAAGCCACTCTGGGAAGCAACAGGAGCCTGAAGGTAGCAGCACCTGGCAAGACATACAGAGAACACATGGCACAGAAAAACTGGAGAGGTCAATATTGCCTCTACTTGAGAGGCAAACTTGAGGAAGAAGGCCATGCCAGGATGAGAAGCCAGAAGTACATGGTGTTCCCTTTTGGTCTGATATGGAGAGAATTCCAAGGGCCTTTAAAGAAAGGCTAATCACCAGGGCATCCTTCCAAGTGTCAGACAGATTGGCCAGTAAAGAGTCACACTACCTTTCCGGGGTGGTGGTGAGGGGGCAGCCCAGGGGCTGCAGGGCAGCAGCACAGACAGACAGACAAGGCCATGCCCTTGCTTTGGGCAAAACATCTTCATTTTTTCATTCTAACCAGGCCCTATCCTCACCTGAGAGGGAGAAGGAAACAGTACCGAATCAGCACTCCTAACCCCCACAAGACAGTTAGCCGAAGGCTGATATACTGGAAGTTGTAATTTGTTCTGCTGAGCAGGTTCCAAGATTCTAGTTCCTCTGCTGAGAATCTCTTTGTCACCTCATCATCCATAATGGTCTCCATTCCTTTCCGGCAAAAGTAGAAAATGTCAGAGAGCTCAAACTCTGGAGTATTATCCAGAGCCTTACTGCTACCACTTCGACGGATTTCTTTGATCTCTTCTTCTAATGAAGTGGGATCTTTTGCAATGATTCCTACAAAAGATAATGCCCCTGTCAAACAGCATGCTGGGAGAGAACAGGTAGAAAACAAGGCACACAATCTTGGTTTAGGCAGCATTTAGGGTATGTGCATGCTGTGGTTGGAGTATGGTCTGAGTGTGTACCCTAAAGGTTCATTAGCTAGCAGCCTAGTCCTCAGTGTAATGGTACGGAAATGCAGTAGCTCTCTAAGCAGTGGGGCCTAGTAGAAAGAGATCAGGTCACAGGATGCTGTCCGCCTAGTGAGGGAGCATTAAAGTGGGATAGGTCTGCAAGTGTGGACAGGTTCCCCTGAGATAAAGTGGTTTTATAAAAAAGCAAGCCTGGTCCCTCCCTACTCTCTTACTGTGTGATCTAGCCTACCTTCCTTTTTTTCCACCCACATACTCCTGCAGTGTGATGCCATCTGCCAAAGTGTGATGCTGCCAGGGCCCCTTGTGAGTACCATGCTATCTGGATTTCCCATCCACCAATACTGTGAGCCTAACAAACATTTTTTTCCTCTAAGGTATCCATTTAGCAACAGAACACAGACTAGGACAGCACATAAAAGCACTAAAGAATGAGTATATTTCAAAGGAGCCTTTTAGACTAAGATCAAGACCCAGTCTTACCATTGGTGTAAGGCTTGTAAAGCTGGTGGTTCTTCTCCTTCGCTCCTCTTTCCATTCTCAAGGTAGCCCACTGAGGAGGAAAAGTCAAGCACAAGAACAAGAATGAGATACTACGCAGGCACTGAACACCTCCAGTTCCACCTATGAGCCTTAATCCCAATCACCTGGGGCTGGATCTGTCAAGCCACCTATACCAGAGGAATAGGTGTGCCCCAACAAAGCCCTCTGGATAACCAGGCTCAGGCTGGAAAACCCACACAGCCCAGAAAGTTAGATGTTCCAGCCTTTCTTCCTCACTGCCCCAATCTCTGTGACACTAAAGGAACTTTGAGCATCTGGCAACATCACTTAACACATCCTTGCAACCTGCCTCTCTGCACCACCAAATTATTCCAAGAAAGCAATCATTTTAGTTTTCAAAAGAAGAAAGGCTTAATACATGTCTAGATAGTTAAAAGAAATAACCCACAATTTTAACGTATGTCTAGGACTGGCTTCAAAACGTCAGAGGGAAAAATATCCTATCTGGAGCTTTTGAAAAATCTTTGTTCGGTTTCCAAGTTTAACATTCACTAGCTATGTTCCTTAGACAATTTATCCTAAATCTCAGAATCTTGGTTTCTTTATCTAAAGAAAAACAGAACACGACAGTATCTCAACTTCCTACTTTGTAGGGTCAAAGGATACTATAGATGTGACAGAACTTGAAAATGTAAGGCATGGTAACTAAAATCAATGGACTCTAGAAGAGCAGGAGAAAGAAAGAGCAGTTCTTGGGAACTCTCATAAAACCCTCCAACCTAGAGTAATGGAATCAGAAGCTAGGTACCTTCACTATCATATGGGGATAAATTAAGCTAGCTCAGTCATTCCACACTGGGAAGTTACACTGAACACAAAGCTGTGTAAAGTGCTTGTCTAGCAATGCACTTGACCCTATACCACCGCCACTGAAAAAACAAAACATAGTGAATCAAGGAAATAGCAGATTTGAAAAGGTATTTTTAAAAATATGTGCCCAGTTATGCAGGGTGGGAAAGAACCCTATCAAGCCACGACACAGCAAAATACACATGGTCCAAGGCGTCTGGGGCAGATCCTGCTGGCACAGCCTAAAGTATCTGTGAGACTGCTCTGCAAGGTCTTGCAAGGCCAAAAGCAGGACTGAGTTTAATCAAGGAATGACTTCATCTGGAAACTTCTTCAAATGCCATTGTCTAGAAAAACAACTCAGAGTCATCCACTCAAAAGAAGGGTCAAAGACAAGAAAACCCACTTAATCTATGTTCCACAGTTCAGAGGTCTGACTGCTGATGTCACCTGGCTCATTGTATGAATGATCCTTTTTAGAGAAAAAAATATAATTCCTAAAATAAAATAAAATTCTATCTGGTTTCCTGGAAATAGTAACAAGGTGAAAAGGACAAGAAATTACAACAAACCTGAGACACAGGTAACTTACTCAAAATTAGGGGGTTCACATTTTGACCACAATGTTGCACTGATAACAATTTTGAACAGAAATAACAGTACTTGATTCTGACAATGTAGATACATCTGTTATATTTCAATAGGTGAGTGAAAAATGAAATCAGGCCCCTTGAGGATGAGCACAAAAGCTGAAGGAATGCTTCACTATGGAAAACTGCGTGGCTGTGTGTTGATGATTTGACTGGATGGAGCTCTCCTGAGCTTCTTGTAGCTCTGGAACACAGTAGTAGCAGACATCCCTTTGGCTTCCTGCTTAATAGTTGTATCTCATCACTTTGGCCTTCTGCTTTTCAGATTTCAGGACATTACAAAATGATTCTGCACTAAAAAACATTATCCAAAGTCACAAGGGTAAAGGACAAGAGGCGAGCTCTGGAACAGCCTGCTGAGGAAAGGCTGATCAATGCACTGGGTTACACTACCTTGATGAAGGCAAAGAAGAGAGCCTGAGAGGATACACTTCTTTTTCTCCATGCTATGTGCAAACTACACTTTGGATACCAGAAATGGAGGGAAATCTACACACAAGTAAAGCCTCCTTGGACACCAGATGAGTGTCCTTCCACTCAGCTGTGAAACTACCTGCCTGGAGACAGCCAAAGAACTGGTGAAGGTCTCAGTCCTACAACACAATCCCATAAAGCCACCAATGACAAGTCCCTGATTATGATTGGCTGATCCCACAACCACCTCCTTGGACATGATTATTGGCTAGAATGTCTGGCAGAGCTCAGGGAAACAAACATTTCATACTTATGATTTATTATATATGACACAATTCAGGACAAGCCAGAAGAGGGTACAGAAGGCAGGTACTGAGGTTGGGAAGTACAGGTACCAGGCCGTATATGGGCACACCACCCTCCCAACACTCAGTTTATCAAATCTTACTCAAGACTTTTATGGAGTCTCACAGAATTTAAACTCCAGCTATCCATTTTCCATAGGTCAGCAGTTGGGGTGAAAATCTCAGCCTTCTAATCACTTGGCCTTTCTGGTGATCAGGCCCCTCCTGAGGCTACCTGGGTTCTATCCTTGTCATCGAATTAGCATAAACTCAGGTGCTCACTATGAAGAAGATATAATCATTTGGCAAATTCCTAGGGTTTTAGGAGCTCTGTGTAGGAATTGGGCACAAAGACCAAATATACTTTACACTGCACCACAGACAAGCCCAAGGTAGCAATGCCTGGTGACTACATAACTGGCTTTTCTGAGCTGTCACTTCAGTAAGTGTAGCTTTTAGACATTTAGAACAAAATTAAGAATACTCAGTGCCAGTGACAGAGCGCAGCGAAATAAGTACCTGCCTGCTAAGTGCAAGGTCCCGAATTCAATCTCTGGTACCAAAACACACACACAAAACTCAGTTCAGAGTTCATTTCACTATAAAAATTCTTTCCTTTCCTTCTGATCTGAGTTGCTATTTGTAAAGACTATTCAATACTGGATTAATTACTCTTTTTCCACTTCTCCCAGAAAAGCAATTTAAGGGAATTAACAACACTACACTCTTATAGTAGGTAACACTAAACTGAACAGAGACCTTGGCAGGGGAAATGCAGGTGCTACTTCCATGGAGCACTCTGCTAGTTTTTCATTCTATTGAAGACTGTAATTTACTGTAATCAAAAATAAAAACTAGAAGTCCAGCAAAAGTAATCTCAGGGCCAGCCAGATAGCTCAGTGGACTAAAGCACCTATGTAGACAAAGCGCAGCAGCCAGGGTTCAATCCTGCAGAAAACCTCTTCTTCCTTCTTAGCTGCCACTGCACTTTTTCCATGGATGAGATTCAACTAAAGAACTAGACCTTATAAAAACCAGGCTTGGGCTGGGGAGATAACACGGTGGCAGAAGCACCTGCCTGGCAAGTGTAAGGTCCTTGAATTCAGTCCCTAGTACCTCATACTTGCTAGTCCCAGAACCGGGTGCAGTGGTGCACATCTGTAATCCTAGCACTGAGGCAGCTGAGACACAGGAGGATCACAAGTCTGAAATGCATAGTAAGACCCTGTATCAAAAATAAAAATGAAAAAATGAAAGCCAGCTCACTATGGGTGAAGTTGTGCATGCCTGTAAGTCAGCACTCCAGAGGCTGAGGCAGGAGGATCATCGAGTTTGAGGCCAGCAGGACCTACTGAAGGAGTTCAAGGCTATCCTAAACTACTAAAACAAACAAAAAATGCAGACTTGATCACCCATCAGCTCCATTTCTGATGCAGACTCCACTGTTCAACACGTCTCTTGTCTCCCAGCTTCAGGTGTAATGTCCATACAGCTATCAACTTTCTCTTGGTTCACACAAGTGCCAACTCCCCATTCCCAATTCTACAGACAAGTGCGCCTGGTTATATGGCATGACAGGAGGATGGGAGCACACCTTCTCTGAGCTGCACAGGCCCCTCTGAAGGTGAGCATCTCCTCCCTTAGGCCCCCCAAGTCACCAAGCCCTAACCATCTTCCACTTGTGACACTGTCTTATACAAACACCTCATGCTTCACACCTTCTTTCACTCCAATACTCTTCTTGCCTACTCTTGAGACACCACCTATTTAACTGTCTCCATCTAATGATATCATCTGTAACCTATTTCCATCTATCAATGCTGTCAAGAATCTGATCATGGAACATTATTATCAAAAACTTTCAGTGCCTAAAGATATGTTTAGTAGTACAAGACACACTCACAAGTTTTTGCTTTAGTAAGGATAACACTGCAGTTTTTCACCAAGCTGCTGCAACGTGCTATCCTCTTAACTGTCTAGTTCAAATGAAAATCTAGTATGAAATGATGCCCACTCATCCAGCAGTCAGAATGAGTCTGAATTAGTTATGCCTCACATGCTGCATTAATGACATACATACACATCTCCCCTGGTGAACTACGAATACCCGAGGATGGGCCAGAACCTATACATCTGCGCAGCAGTCAACAGAGGACTGCATTTAATTCATCAATTCCCAGCACTTCTCTTCATCAAGGTTTCCCCAAGCAAGAAAACAGACTAAAAATGATAAAATCTAAAACCTATCATTTTCTTTGCCACAAATCATCCTCTCTCCTTTATTATGTCCTGAATCCATTCAAGGTTATAATTAAAACCTCCTTTTCCTATAACCATGTGAGACAGGAACTGCCACTCCTCTCTAGATGAAAAAATACATCAGAAAGTTCCAATTTCAAAGTCAAATTTCAAAGGTCTCACAGGAAAAGTACTGTAGTTAAGAGCTGCCTGACCATAAAAATGCACGCTTGCCCACCACACCACTATCACTAGAGTCCCATCTCAAGTCTCCCACAACCACCACTGGTTTCAGTGACTCTCGCTTCCAACACCTGCTTCGGAGGAATCAACACTTGGATGGCAAGGGTTCCTTCTTCTCTAACCCAACCTGGTCCACTCCTTCACTGCAGGAAAACACAAGACATTTATTTTTGTCTTTCTCCTGTATATCTTAGCTTTCTCCTCTCCCTTCCTCCAAGCCATTCTCAACCCAGTTCAAAGTCCACTCCTAGGAATTCTACTCCAAAAATTAAATGTACTGAGTAGAAAGTACCTCAAGTAAAAAAACTGAAGAAAGGATGAAAAGTACTCTAAAACTGGATGCTGCTGTCTGTACAGAACAGTCTTCAGTGACTCAGCACTTCAGGACTTGCAATGGGCTCAGGGCTGTGGGATACTACTGGCTGGCACTGATCCAGCCATATCCTCCCTCACCTTTCTCTGAGGCAGGTATGCAAACATTTTCTCCTGGCAACTTTACAAAGAAGAAAGTGTGGGAAACCAGCTGGTAAGCCAGGACTGCACACATGTGCCAAAAACAGATACAGATAGACACAGTATGGATTTTAGATACCCAGTTTTAATTCTTTAATTACCTTTAAAAGTAAAATGTAAAGACTGCCAATAAAATGTCAAAATAAAATTATATGTACACAACCATAAAATAGGAACACGATTTTTTAAAAAGCTGGCCATAGTAGTACACAATTATAATTCTAGCTACTCAGCAGGCTGAGACACAAGGATTACAACCTCAAAGCCAGCCTAGGTAACTCAGTAAAATCCTGTCTCAAAATTTCTAGAAAGAGCTGGGGATGCAGTTCAGTGACAGAGAACTTTTCCTAGAAAGGCAAGGGCCCTGAATCTAACCCCCAGCACTGCAAAAAATTAATAATGAAACTGATGTTAGTATAAGCTATAAGACAATGATGAATGTTTGAAATTTTCTAATGTTATATATTATCTCAATATGTAGTGGCTTAAAACATGGCCCTCCATTTATCTCGTTTCTGAAACTATAGACTGCATATATCTGGGTGCATGGAGGCCAAGGCCTGGAACACTTGGAAGCCTGTTCATGCCAGTGTGGGCAACTGATGCTGGCCATCCCAATCTTCCCAGGGTGGTGAAATGAAACACCTACACCTGACTTCCTTATAGCATAGTGGCTGGGCTCCAAGAAAAGCAGCAAAAATAAGTTATACTGCCTTTTCTAACCTAATCTTTTATGTCACACAGCATCATGCCCACCACATCCTATTCATTAGAGACAAACCACTAAGTGGGTCTGCATAAGAGGAGGGGAAGAAAGGTAGAATCATGGACATCACTGGTACCAGAATCATCTGAATTTTTTTTTTTTTAACATGTCCAACTAGACCTATTAAATCCAGATGCTAGAGCCCCAAAGTAAGTATTTTCCAAAATGCTGCCCCAGGTGTATTACTAAGATAATCTCTGAACTTTCTTCTAGGTCCAAAATTATTTGTATCATTCCAATTTAGGAAAAAGTGGAAGAAATGAAAAGGAGTAAAATAAATGTTTCTCCTTGTTATGGACTACAGTTTACTCCCTGAAATTCTTATGTTTAATCCCCAGTGTGATGACATTGGGATGTTAAGTCTTTGTGAGGTAATAAAGACACATAAGTGAAGCCTTCAGGAATGGGTGAAGGTCCTCACAAAAGCCTTCATCTGCTATACCACTGAGGACAGAGAAGACCTGTGAACCAGGAAGCTGGGAGACACGAAATCTCTTCTCCCAGCCCTTGGATGTCAAATTCCAAAACTTTGAGAAATACATTTGTTTTTTGTGGATCAGTCTATGATAGTTTGCTAAGGCAGTCCAAAATGACTAAGACATTCTTCACTTTTAAAAAGTTTATACAAACATCCACAAGTACAGGTAAATTTTAGATACATTCACAGATGTAAGGATACTTTTCTTAGGCCTGGCACCAGCTTCTATTACCATTAATAAATGTAGTACTCAGTTCTTTCTGTCCATTAAGACTAACTCTGACCCTCTTCCAGAACCAACCTATGCCCCTGCTGGTATGATCAGTCATTTCAGTAGCCCACTCCTTACTACAGTATACAGCCACCTTGTAACTATGGAATTCAGCATATCTACAAATGGACTACACTGCATGAAGCCTTTCGGTGCCTAGGAAGTAAGATACAAATCTATTTTTGGAAAACTTTTTTGCTTTGTTGGCCCATATCCCTAGCTCCTATTTATTGAAATTCTTAATCTTGAGGTAACAAATACACTTGTAACTTCACTATCATTTCTAAATCACTGACCTAAACCAGTCATTTTCAGGATCTGGCCTGCAAGTACTCTCTGACAAATTAATATTACCCGCCCATAGGCTGGCTCAATGGTAAATATTTAATGAATTTTCCATTTTAACATGATAATCTACAGTAAAAGTCAGAAATGTATACATCTTTAAGAATATAGTCCAAGAAAAATTTACTTGGCCAGTAGCTTTAAAATATTAATTTTGGAGAAACATTTTCTAAATAAGGTAAGGAAAATAAAAAACGGATTGTCGACCTTCTGTCTTACCTAATGTCATCTAAGTTAAATATTAAGTACTATAGGAAACAGCCCTAGGCTCATAATTTTATTCATTACATTTTTTAAAAAATGACAGTTTCTGCTGGGTACAGTGGCACACACCTGTAATCCCAGTACCTGGGAGGTTGAAGCAGGAGGGTACAGACTGAGGCCAACCTAAACTACACAGTGAGACTCTGTCTCAAAAAAAAAAAAAAAAAAAAAAAAAAAAAAAAAATCTATAGATTCATGAATTAATCTCTTGTATAAACTTGAATGAAAGTCAGACATCATTCTTGTTTCCTAAAAATTTGACAGCTACTCCACTAATTTTGTCCCGGTATAGGAGAGTATGGGTATTAAGTTATACTACTCACTGGGATCTTGTGTTGTTGGAAGACTTTCTTGAATTTGAGATGCAGATCAAGAAAAGGGATTCCTTTTCTTGATTAATCAAAATAAATACTGTATTGGTATTTATAGCTAGACCAAACACCAACTAGTACTCTGATTTTAATGTGTGAATAAATCACTTGTATGTTGTTAAAATGCGAATTCTAATTCAGTAGGTCTACAGAGAGTTTGAGATCTTCATTTTTCAACCAGTTCCTAGTAATACCCATGTTTCGAATCTATAGTTTACTGAGCAGGGAAGACTTGATATCCACAAATCCATAAATCACTACTAGTGCTCAAAAATTGTACTCTTGAAAACAAGCAATCAAACACACAGCTCCCTAGCAGCACTACTCACCATAGCCAGAAGACAGAAAGAGCCTACCTGTGTCCACCACTCTGTGAACAGGTAAGCAAATTACAGTCAGACAGCAGGAGCTGTTACTCTAATACTCAAACACTCAAACACTCACACACACACACACACACACACACACACACACACACACGGGCATGCATGTATGAAATAATGATACAGATACATCTTAATAATGTTAAAGCAAGTGTGTTGGCACATGTCTGTAATCCCAATACTCTGGGAGGCTCAGGAAGGAGGACTATAAATTTGAGCCTAGCACGGGCAACTTAGTAACTTAGCAAAACCTTTTTTTTTTTTTTTTTGTACAGAGAATCAAACTCAGCACTTTCGCTTGCCAGGAAGATGCTCATACTACTGAGCTAAATCCCCATCCTAAGACTCTGTCTTAAGAAAAGTTTGGTATGTACATCATTCCCAGTGTAAAAGCCTTGGGTTCGATTCCCAGTACTAACCCTCCAACACCAAAAAAGTTATGTTAACTAAAAGCCAGAAAAAAGGGGCACATTTCACATAATCCTATTACTGTGAATACCCAAAAGAGATAAATTCACAGACAGAATGCAACTGGACGCTAACTGCTAAATGAGAAAGGACGTCCTTCTGAAGTGACATTGTATAGGACAAGTGCTGGTTGCATACGGCACTGTTAATTTTATGTTCTATCAATGTCACCTCAATTTTTTTTAAATGTGGGAAATATTCTTAAAAGATAAAGTCCATAGTTCTATGCCACAAAGGTAAAAACTATTTTCCATGGTAATGTAATACTCTCATGCTTCACTATATCTAAGTCTTTTTCTTTGTTGATGATAAAAATGTATTTATACTGCTTACCAACAAAAGTCTAAGGAACCAAAAGAAAGTGAAAGCAATTATTCTACAAAACTTTAAGACATGTATATTATGGTAGAGTGCTTGCCAAGCATGAGAAGGCCATGGGTTATCAGATCCTCAGCACTCCCCCACAAAACAAAACAAAACTGTAAGATAACACATGAAGAAGTAATGCTGTATTATTTTTAGCATTACAGGTGCATTTCTCAAAATTACATATGGTTTCAAATGTGGAAAAGAATTCCTGCTAGGCATGGTGGTGCATGCCTACAACCCCAGCACCTGGGAGGCTAAAGCAGGGGGAGTTCGAGGCTAGCCTGGTCTATACTGTGAGTTCAAGGCCAGCTTAAGCTATATAGTAAGACCCTGCCTCAAAAAAAGCAAAAGGAATTCCTGAGGATCTAAAGACTATTGAAAATAGACATTTCAACTAAATTACCAAATTCCTGGCTCCATAGTAAATCTTGTGGCTCATACCAACTTCTGGGAAGCAATTTCCCTACGTTTCCTTTATAATGCGATCAGTTCTATTTAATGACGCAATTAGGCAAATTCTAAAGTATGTTCAGAAACTGATTATACCCTCTTTCAGAAATGACTCAACTGCTCTTTTCTGTTAGTTCTTTTTATCTGAAATGCAACAACCTACTTTAGAAAAATGTATGAAGGAAACAAAAGGCTTGTAAGAACACACATCAGCAACTGGGGTGTGCCACACGACCTGCTATAAAAGAAGAGGCAGTATCTGGGGTGACTACTGTTAAGTCTACTCTCTCTGTGAAATAAGCAGGCGAGCTGTGGTGTCTTGGGATAGCTCCTCTTACTCAAAATGAATCAAATATGCAAGTAGCTTTAACCCAATGAGAAAGACTGCTGCAGACTTTGAAAAGCACACATTTAGTTACTCTTTTTACTCTTGATGCCACTTCCCATTCTTTCGAGCATTCTCTAAAAACAACAGAGATATTCAGCAGCCAGGTAAGAATAACACACTGCTAAGAACTCTGCTCTCTGTCAAACAATGTACCGTGGCAGCTCAACTCACCGCAAAGATTTTTAACAATGTTTTCATGTAGACCTTTCGAATACCAAAAGAGACTCCAAAAATAGCAGGGACTATAATAAAAACTAGCAAGAGAGTGAAGAGGACGGTCAGGGAGATGCCCAGAAGGTTGACAATCAGGCTATCAAAAGGCAGCAGCAGGAACATGGTGGAGGATCCCAGTCAGGCAGCACCCTTCTTCACACAAACACAGCCTTTAGGTGGCCCTTTCCAAAAGCATCTGCTTAGGAAAGGAAGTCAGTCCCCCAAGGGTACCAAACTCCATCCTAAAGTTCACGTCATTCAACAGCCTGCACAGAAGACATCAGGGTAGAATGACGAGAGAAAAGGGCCTCAAGAGGCAGCCCCAAAACACCAGTCTCCCCAGAACAGACGGACTTTATGATGAACACAGCAGAAGTCTTCAGTTAACAGCATCTGAGCCCAGGTTGAGTCTCTGTGCAAGTGGGAGGAAAGAGAGGAGAGTCTTTGTTCAGCTTTCCTGATGCTGCTTCCACAGGTTTTACTCCTTTTTCTGACTCGGAGCATTCAGCAGGTAAGTTTTCCCAGCAGATTTGTATTGCCAGAAGTACCAAGAAAAGTTCACCTTGGTGCCAGAAAAATGCTGATAGTTCCTGTAGAGAGGCTGACTGCTGGCAATCATGGAAGGCTTCAGAATGTGATTATGTGCAAATTAAATAACCTTTTCCTTGAATTTTCTTCATAAACTGAAAACCATACTCACTATAGAGAGTTCGTATCTGGCCCCATTCTTCCCTGAGAGACTCCTGGTGCCGTTGCCCCAGGACCCTACCACCTAGAGAGCCCCAGCCTTCGCCAGGACACAGGAGCTGGCACAGAGTGCAGCATGCTGCTTGCAGTGAGTGTAATTCCAGATGCGCCTGGCATTGGCGTCCTCCTGATATTCTTTTCCCTCAAGGTCCCCTATTAGTGGTGACCTGGGTTCTTGGCAAAAAGTTGTTCACATGCTTCCAGAGCTGTGGGTAGAAACAGAAACACTGTCAGTCACACAAATCAGGAGCAATGTCAACATGCTTTGTGTGAGGAAGGGAAGGGCTGCTTCAGAATAAGACTAGAGTCAGGCCAGCTTCTCAATCCATCAAGGTCAAAGGGACCTGAAACGTTATGGGAGGAAACACATTACGTTTCATATAGTTTTCAATTCCAATGACAGGACACTGTGGCCACTCAGACATTCTGAATAAACAGAGTATGTGTCCAGAAGATATGTTTCAAAAGAAAGAAAAGCAAATCTATAAAACACAAATCTCCCTCTTAGCCGCCCCAAAGTTACTCAGTTTTTCTCCACAGACGCAACCATATTACCAGCTTCATAGCCCTTCCTCAAACCTCTGCTTAAGACAAGGAAATCATAGTTGTCCCTCTCTTCCTGCCACCAGTCTGGCAACAAGGACGGCATATAATGCATGTTATTTATTTTTCACTTTGCTTTTCATTTTGTGGCTTTAGCTTAACCCAGTCTTAAAAGAGAGTTCTATCAACACACAGAGTTCCTGTACTCTGCAGATACATAGTGTTTAGTTATAAAAATATACCAGGGCTGAATAAGCAGTCTCCTAAGGTTAGACACTGCTAGTTCCACTTTTGTCACTATAATGTAATGAGTAAGCACGTGCATATAAAATTTAGCATTAAAACATACACAGCAAACACATTTCTAGGATAAATTCTTAAAAATGGAATTTCAGGAGAAAAGGAAATATACATCTTTAATTTGCAAGATACGATCACATTTCCTCCATGGAGATTAAGCCTTTCTTCCCATATTAGCTACTCGAGAAGGTATTCCAAAGGAATTAACATTTCTATTTTATAGAACTCATTCCAAATCACAACTTACACAAGTTCTCACTTTGAGTGCATCCTGTCCAGTCTCTGGCTTTTCTCCCAAGGTGCTGGGAAATCAAATCTAGAGCCCTGCACATACTAGACACTCAACCACTAAGCTACATCCCCAGACCTTAGCAAAAGATTCTGGCTCACATGATTCACCTCCTGGCTCTGTCCCAATGTACATATAAATTTGAGAAACTAAACAGATACTGACTTTACCTTAAATTTTTTCCAACACCTTATAAAAAAAATGTTACCTCATTTGGTTAACTCCAACATATCAATTTGTATGATCTTCAGTTTTCAATTCAGGAAATGAAGAGGTGCAGACACAGATAAAGTTCTGCACTGCCTTCAATATTCCAACAAAGCTAGTGATCAAATTCTCAACCAGGGCACAATATTTTTGTGGCACTGAGTCACAAAAATAGTTCCTCCCCACTTCTTCCACTATCACATTATCGTTATTATCGCAAACATTCACTGAATGCTTAACATACAACAAACACTAAGCTACAAAAGCCTTTTTACATGGTCAATTCTCAGAACTCTGGTGGAGTTAACTATTATCAATGCCATTTTATAGGTAAGAACACTGAGGTTTTAAAGGTAAATTTTCCAGGGCCACACAGTGATTAAGTGGTGGAATAGAACTTAGGACAAGTGCCTATCTCTGAGCCGATGCTTATTAGCTCCTATGCTTTCCTGTCTCCCAAAGTACCTTGAAATAAACCATTTCCTCCACATCAGGCCTGCTCTGCAGTTTCTTACAATGACAGAAAAACCACAAGGCAGATCTGGATTCTGGTATACTAGAATGTAGTGTTCTCAGAATTCAAGGTACAGATATGCTCTTTCACTTTTATAAACTGGCCAAGCTCACAGTACATGCCAGATTCTAACTACATCCTAAAGCAACAGAGAAGTCTGTCACTGTATTTAGAATGTGTGTCAAGTCCCTATAACCTCCTAGGTTCACACTTTCACTCCACCCACACATTCCTGGCCTCCTACTCCCACTCCCCTTGGCCAGCATTCCCATTGAAGACACACAGCAAGAACCCTCTGTCCTACTGGCCAAGGTCACCTTGGATTCCACAAATCCAAGGTGACTGTCACAAAGGTCCTTATAACCCCATAAATCAAAGTTCGGACAGCTCTTCTTTGGATCACAATCAATTGAGAATTCCCAGGGTTATTCTGGGTTCATGTCCCTGAAATGGTAAAGTAAACACATGTAGCAACAGGCTAATTTCTTCACCAAGTTAAAGGATTGGCAAACTACAACTTGTGTGTGGGCCAACCCCTAGGCCTCTTTTATAAGGCTCCTAAGCTAGGCATGATTTTGAATTTGCTTTTCTGTGGTACTGGTGGTTGAACGCAGGGCCTCTGATTTACCAGCAAGAGTTCTACCATGGAGCTGTACTCCCAGCTTGATTTTTACATCTTTAAATAAAGAGATGCGGGGAAGGGTATCTGGAAGTAATGTGCACCAAGCCAGCAGCCGCAGTAACTACAGTTTCAATTTCAACTCCACAATGTTTCCCTTGGCCAAAAACGCATTAGGTTGTTTTCCAGTTCAAAGCATTCAACAAATGGTAGTAAGTCAGAGTCACCAGAAATGAACACCTGATTTCCATGACAAATATGGTAATGCTGTATTAGATGGTGGAGCCACATTCTGTATTGCTGCACGGACCTGTATAGTAACACAAATTGTATTAGAATGGAACCTTTCCCCTTTTGGCAGTCACCCCCAAGGAATAGAGAGATCAGTAATCATGCCAGCTGATATGATACAGCTAAATTATTTCTAAATGAAATAATAATTGGTGCCAACTAATTAAGTAAAAGTGCTGTGTATCCATTAAAATATGGACTATTGAATGAAGTACAATTGAAACCTTAAAAAAATAAATGTGAAAAACAAATATGCGAGAGAGACTATGAAAACCTAACATATTTACTATCTGACACATAACCCAGTTGTTCTTTCCTCCCTCAGAGGTTACTTCTCCCCTGGTCCGGCCCCACCCCCTGAACTCTTCCTAACAGGGAACATCTGACTAACCAAACAAGTTACTGAGCCAACATTAATCCTCACCTAAATTCTTAGAAGTAAAGGAAACAGCATGCAAACTGCAATTATCAACTAAGTGTCCAAACATTTTCAGGAATCAGTAGAAAAACCTATCAAAGCATCTGGTATTTTATAGCCTCAATAGACTTTGATCTCCAAAAATATCAAAAACCTGCTCACATCATAACACAATCAAACCACAATTTCTGGATAACTGCTTGCCTAGGGAAGGATCTCACTGTACCTTAAGTAACTGTAACCAGAACCTATTCAAAGTATGAGGCAGGGGGACCCTTAATTGAAAGAGGTATTTACTCATCTGCTTAACTTCCACAGTTGGCTTCCAGCCAAACTCACTGATTCATTTGGCCCAAAGTTCCCTCAAGATCTTATGCTCCAAGAAAAAAACAAAAAACAAATGAGAGAGAGAGAGAGAGAGAGAGAGAGAGAGAGAGAGAGAGAGAGAGAGAGAGAGAAACCAACTAGTTCTGAGCCTGCCAAGAAGGATGTCTACATCTTGGCAAGGGGCTGGAGCCCACTGCTAAGTCAACTAAACTCTTTAACTCATTTAACAAGATGAGCCTTCAGGTCTCAGTTCTGGAACTCATCATATCATTAATTCAACAACCATCCATCAGGCAATCAATATGAGCCGGACAATGTTTGGGGTTAGAAATTCAGTGGTGCAAACATGCCTACACAGAAGAATCAAATAAAAGCAATTTGACTTAAATCAGGTCCTCTACACTAGTTCCAATCCCATTATAAGGTACATAGCAAAACTACTATCATTCCCAACTACAGAACCCAAAACTTTTCAGCTACCTCCCCTCTGACACATTCTAACTTAGGAGACTGTGACGGCCAGAATATGTCCACAGAAATGCCATATACTAACCCCCAAAGCACCATTTTATCAAAAAGACATGCTTAGGCCATATAGGGACACATGCATTTTTTATGTGAATAATACAAAGTTTTCTTTCTTTTTTTTCCGGGGGGGGGGGGCGGATTTTAGGGACATATGCATTTTTAAAGCACACCAAGTATATGCTTCTCAGATGTTAGAAGGTACATTTTATCATTTCATCAAGAAAAGAAGAAGCGCTGAAGACTGCCTTCTTCAGTTCTACCAAACTTTATGATGGTTTAGAGAGAAAAGGATTTCACAGTAGGGCATAAAATACCAAATCCACAAGCCAAAATTTACAAAGTGCCTATCAAGTAGTAAGCAATGAATTAAAAAAGGTTAGTTGTAAAACAAATATGAATTAAAACTACATGGCAAAAGCCATGATACGCCCCTGTACTGGTGAGAACAATAAAATATCCTCAAATACTACAGGCTACTGTGTATCATGGAACAGTCTCTATGGAAACAATTTAGTAAAGCCATAAAAGAAATTTAAATACATACAACCCGAGACTCAACAATTCCATTTATAGAAATTTAGCCTGGAGCACTCAATGCTTAATTTTTTTCTTTTTAATTTCTTACAACTTTTTTATTTTTCCAATTTTGCATGCATATCTGGTAATTTAAACAACTTATTTGAAGACAACACTATGCCATATGATAAATATTGTTCAATTTGTATTTTGTTTTATGAAATTCTAGGTCATTTCTAAAGTATTTTTATTACCATTGTTTTATATTCTTTTTAAAAAAAATTAAAAGAAAAACAGCCTAAGGATACATTAAAGTAGTGCTTTTGATCTTGGGCAGTTTCTTTTCTTTTTTTGTATTTAGTGCAGTGTCTAGAGGGTCTCACTACACAGAATCAGATTAATAATGATTCTCCTGTTTTCAGCCTACCATGCACTGGGATTACAGGCCCACCACTGCACCCAGTCTCAATCACTGTCTCAGAGCATCCTGGGGGTGGGGTCCAGCTGCTTCTACATATGCAGGCTTTTTAATCCGCTGAGCTATGCAGCTGGCCCTCCTTGGGCAATTTCTGACCCCAAAATTTTAGTTGTCACAACCAGGAATGGGAATGCTATTAGTATTCAGTGCCTAGAAGGTTAAGACAATGCTAAACA